GGCCGTGAGCATGCCACTGCCCTCTGGCCTGGGCGACAGAGTGAGACTCCAACTCAAAGAAAAAAGGAAAAAGTACAGTTTGGGAGTTCCTCAAATGATTAAACCTACAGTTACCATATGACCTAATAACTCTATTCCTAGGTATATAGCCAAGAGAAATGAAAACATTCAGTCATACAAAAACTTGCAAACAAATGTATATGGCAGCATTATTCATAATAGCCAAAAGGTGGAAACAACCCCAATGTCCATCAATGGAGGAATGGATAAACAAAACATTGTAAGGCCATGCAATGGAATACTATTCAGCCATAAAAGAGTGAAGTGCTGATACATGCTGCATCGTGAATAAACCTTGAAAACATGATGCTAAGTGAAAGCAACCAGACATGAAAGGCACATAGTATATAATTCCGTGCATATGAAATGTTCAGAATACAGAAACAAACCTACAGGCACAAAGTATAGTTATGGCTGAGGATTGAGGGAGCAGGGAGATGGTCATTCTTCCAAGGTGATGAAAATGTTCTGAATGTAGTGATAGCTGAACATATCTGTGAATTGTACATTTTAACTGTACCATACTTTGAATGGATGAGTTGTATGGCATGTGAACTATATATATCTCAAAAAAGCTTTTCTTTTTTTAAAAAAGTAAGTTCTATGAAGGAGAGATGAGGTATTTCAGGGCTCACTCCCTCCTGCTCCCAAATGACCATGTCCCCCAGCAATCCATCTAAGGCCCTGGGATCCCCCACCTCATCCTGCAAGCCCATTTGCCGCTATTAGAACTGTTATGGAAGCTCACAGTCCACCTGCTCTTCTCTTGACCCAGGTTGCCCCAAGCTGTCCTTCAGGCTTCTCAGCACGCTTTCCATCCTCCTTTTCATTTTAAAGAAACTGTAGTACTTGCTTTTTAAAGAAAACATGGAACATTCAACAAAGTAGGGGGGAAAAAGTCCACCCACTGTCCATTCACCCAAACACAGGTTGATTATAAGCCACAATAGGTGAGGAGGCAGGAGGGACATATGTGCACACAGATGAAAGCTCTAGAATGTAGACACGGTTTCCTGAAGATGCAGGGCAAGGCGTCCTCAGCCAGGTAATCTTACATTCACTTTTACACAGTGACCACATGTCCCCCTTGGGCCAAGCACTGCTCTGGCCCCTATGGGAAAACGTTTCCCATGTGAGATTAGAAGAATATATTTTTATATCTCGGGGTGGGAAAGGCCTCTCTAAGTAAGACACAAAACCGAGACGCAATCAAGGGAAAAAAAACTGACAGATTGAAGATTAAAAGTTTTCTCATATCCAAAAGACTCCTGAAGCTAAGTTAAAGGACAAATGGAAGACTGGAAGGAAACATCTGCAATACACTTAACAAAGATTGCCTCATCAGAGCTTGTAAAGAGCTAAAAGTCAATAAAAGGATGACTGGGTATGGTGACTCATGCCTATAATCCCAGGACTTTGGGAGGTGGAGGTGAGAGGACTGCCTGAGCCCAGGGGTTCAAGATCAGCCTGGGCAAGTTGGTGAGACCTCATCTCTACAATAAACCAAAAAATTAGCCGAGTGTGAGGGCATGTGTCTGTGGTTCCAGCTACTTGGAAGGCTGAGGAGGAAGGATCGCCTGAGCCTAGCAGGTTGAGGCTGTGGTGGCCATGAGCATGCCACTGCGTTCCAGCCTGGGCGACAGAGTAAGTCTCCCACTCAAAAATAAATAAATAAATAAATAAATAAATAAATAAATAAATAAATAAGAAAGTCAAACACATGGGCAAAAGATAGGGCTAAAAAATTCACAGACCACTACTTCACTTGACTAGTTTTTCTTTTTCTTTTTTCTTTTTTTTGAGTTTAGTCTCACTTTGTCGCCCAGGCTGGAGTGCAGTGGCATACCTACAGTCATCGCAGCCTTGACCTGCTGGGCACAGGCAACCCTTCCTCCTCAGCCTTTCAAGTAGCTGGAACTACGGGCACACAATGCCACGCCCGGCTAATGCTTTGATTTATTGTAGAGATGAAGTCTCGCCAAGTTGTCCAGCCTGGTCTCCAACCCCTGGGCTCAGGCAATCCTCTCGCCACCGCCTTCCAAAGTGCTGGGATTCAGGCATGAGCCAATGCACCCGCGCACTTGACTAGCCTTTACAAAAAGAAAGAAAGAAACTTCACAGGACTCAAATGACCAATAAACATATGAAAAGAGAAATGTGCCAGGCTGTGCCTGTAATCTTGTTCTACAATAAATTTCTAAATACGATAAATTTTGTTCTACAATAAATTTTCTAAAAAAATTAGCCAGGTTCAGTGGCTCAGATTGTAATCCCAGCACTTTGGGAGGCCGAGGCAAGTGAACTGCCTGAGCTCGCGGGTACGAGACCAACCCCGGCCAATGGGTGAGACCTAGTTTCTATAATAAATCAAAAATTAGCCAGGCGTGGTTGCGTGCATCTGTGGTTCCAGCTACTTGGAAGGCTGAGGCGGAAGTATCGCCAGAGCCCCCACTGCACTCTAGCCTGGGTGATGGAATGAGACTCCAACTCAAAATAATAATAATAATAATAAATTAGCTAGGCATTGGGATGTGCGTATGTTGTTCCAGCCACTTGGGTGGCTGAGAGGGAAAGATCACTTGAGCCCAACAGGTCGAGGCTGCGGTGGCTGTGACTGTGCATCTGCTCTCCAGCCTGGGCAACAGAGACTCCAATTAGAGAGAGAGAGAGAGAGAGAGAGACAGAGAGACAGAGAGGAGGGAGGGAGGGAGAGGGGGAGAGAGAGAGAAGAGAGAAAGAGAGAGAGAGAAAAATGTGCATTAAAACACCAGTGAGTAACACACCTTTGGCTTCCAGACTGCCACACTGGCCTGGTTTTTCTACTAGTGCTTCAGGGGCTTCTTGGGAGTCTCATTTTGGTCCTTTCTTGAGCCCTTGACCTTGGAGTACCTAGAGTACTGTCCTTGGTCTTCCTCTCGCCTTTGTCTACACTTACTCACTAGAGGCTTCATCCACCCCAGATCCTCAACCTGTCCCCCTGGGTCACAGCCCTCCCCTCTGCTTACTGCTAGAGTTTTCCCCCTCCCAGTTGCTCTAAGAGACTCTTTAAAGTACTGCTATGCATTCACTGTTTTAAGAACTTAGCATTTTAACGCTTTGGTGCAAGAGGAGGAGGAGGATTCAGGGATTCATGCTTATGTATATACATGATGTTATTTCTGTAAGTGCAAACACATACACTTATGGCTACATGCATAGAAAAGCCCAGAATGTGACACATTAAGATGTTGTCATGTTTATGAGTTGTGGGATTACTATAACTTGTTTTTTTGGTTTTTTTTTTGAGTCAAAGTCTCACTCTGTTGCTCAGACTGGAGTTCAGTGGTACACTCATGGCCACCCCAGTGTCAACCTGGTGGGCTCCAGCGATCCTTCCATCTCAGCATTTCAAGTAGCCGGTACTATAGGCGCACGCTACCATGCCCAGCTAATTTTTTGATATACTGTAGAGAAGAGGTCTCCCCAAGTTGCCCAGGCTGGTCTCAAACCCCTGGGCTCAGGCAAACCTCTTGCCTCAGCCTCCCAAAGTGCCGGGATTAGGCCTGAGCCACCGCGCCCAGCCTACTATAACTTTTTAAATGTCATTAGCACCATCAATTGGATTCACAGCTGTAGCGTTGCTTATAAAAATAACCTCGGGTGTGTAACAGTAGGTTACACAGACATAGTGTTCATCCATAGTTGAAACGATACACAACCACTGAAAAGCACGCTGGCAATTGTATTTACCGATATGGCAAAATTCTCATCACTTGACGCCAGATAAAGCAGCAGGAGATGCCAGATATACCGTCTGATGCCAGTTTCATACAATCCATTTTTAAAAAGAAAACTGCATGAACTGAGAGAAAAGACTGGAAGGAAATGTATCTCCAGGTGCTGGTGCGAAAGGCGAACTCTAGCCTCCGGTGTTTTTCCTTTCACCCCCAAGACGCGGGTTCCTTCCACCCTGGTTCTTGAAAAAGCAGACCCGGTTGTCCTCCTTCTCAAGCCACGAGCCGCCGGCGCGCCGGGCCGGGGGCGGCCGGACGCCCAGCGC